ATATTGAAAGTACCATGGGCTGCCAGAAGGACAAACAGATCTGTGCTGGAAGAAGTACAGCCAGAATGCTTGGAAGCCAGGATGGCCAAACATCGTCTCTTACACTTCAGACATATGGTCAGGAGGGACCAGTCCTTGGAGAAGGATATCATGTTTGGCAAAGTGGAGGGTCAGAGGAAAAGAGGAAGGACCCCCAACGAGACGGACTGACACAGTGGCAGCAGCAGTGGGCTTACACGTAGCAGTAACTGTGAGGTTGATGAAGGCCTACTCAATGCTTTGTTCTGTTGTGCATAGGGTCGCTGTGAGTCGGTGCTCACTCAGTGGCTGGAACTGTGCTTGGTTTGGCAGGGCCAGACCAAATGATTTCACTGGCCGGACGTTCCCCACCTCTGAGCTAAAGAGAAGGTGCAATCCAACGATCTTCCCAACATTAAGCCATCTTTTCATGACATGTTTTGAGTTTCTGGCCAGTCCTGGTAGAGTAGTGGCTTACGAGTTGGACTGTAAATCACAAGGTCAGCAGTTTGAATCCACCAGCCACTCCACAGGATAAAGAGGAGACTTTCTGTTCCTGTTAAGAGTCACTGCTGCAGAAACCTGGTCCAAGAGCGTGTGAGTCAGGGCCAGCTCCAGAGCACAACGCCACCTGTTTACTGTGAGTAAACAGTCACTGCCAGTAGCCAGAGCTGGAGGTTGCCCATATTGACCTGGTCACTGCTGGGTATCGGGACCCCTCTACAGCAGACACGTCCTGCCCGTGCCCTGGTTGTGTGTTTGCCCCCAAACAGCCCGTGGGGGTGATCACAACATTCATTCAAACCTCAGAACTTCTGTAACTCAAAGGAGCACCGTGGGGGTCAGGGATTAGGGGTGGGCAGTGACCGCAGCAGAGACAAGCCTTAAAGGAGTAGCCAGAAAAGGGCCGTGGACACAGCATGCTTGTATCCTGATGGATGGTGTTCACTGTCAGACGTACAGACGTTGGGGGGGAAGAGCCGTGGATTCAGTTCTGACTCATGGCAGCCGCACTGTATAGGGTTTCCAGATGCTGAACGGTGCAGTTCTGTTTTCTTGTGGCAAATTTATGTCCTTTTAGCAAAGGAGCCCTAGTAGCACAACAGTTAGTTGTTCAGCTGCTAACTGAAAGTCAGCGGTTCAAGCCCACTCAGCAGCTCCACATAGGAAAACCCTAGTAATCTATAAAGGTAACAGCCCAGGGGGCCGGGAGCCAGAATCCGCCACATCGAGCAGAGTACGGCTGGAACAACTGAAGCAATCTGTAGTGGTTGGCATGAAGTGCACTCACTGTGTCCTCAGCTCGAGGGCTTTGCTCAGTGCCTCGGTCTCCCTCGCACCCTCTACAGCCTGGTCTCTGTCTCTCTCCCTTCCCAGGTAAACTGTCAGACATGAAGTCCACGTGGTCCTCCGGCCCAGCCTCTCACAGCCAGGCCTCCCTGTCTCATGAACTATGGAAGGTGCCCAGAAACACTACTGCACCCACCCGGCCCCCTCCAGGCCTAACCAACCCCAAGACCTCCTCCACCTGGGGAGCCAGCCCCCTCGGCTGGACCAGCTCCTACTCCTCAGGTACGCGGGCCTAACATTGTACCACTGCCACTGCCCAGAGGGGTCAGCAGGGGGACTGGAGCTACCCTCAGTGACCAGGACTCCTCTCGAGAAGCCCAGTCTGGCCCTTGCGCCCTGCGTCTGCCCTACCAGCTTGCCCCCCTCCACCACACACACACACACACACACACACACACACACACACGTCTCGTTTCTGTACATTTGCTTCGTCATTTGCTTCGTCACAAGAGTCCATTTGAACATGGGCCTTCCCAGGAAGAAAGTGACAGCCACAGCTTACTGTGCTAGCGAGCCCCGTGAGCCCCCCCAGGTGTCCCGGCTAAGCTCGAGTTAGGGCTGAAAGGAGTGTGTTAGTGCTTCAAAGTTGACGCCAGCATGGCTGCAGGAAAATCATTGTCTTAGCTTTTGAGGAGCAGCTTGTGTGTGTAGTTCTAACAAGCAAGAGTTTCCCGTGTTGATCTGAGACAGATGGAGGTGAAGGCCAGGACCCCGAACCTGTCCTCAGGCGGGTGGGGAGTGACCATGGACGCAGGGACTGTGAGATCTGAGTCCAACTTCAAACATGCACTTCCGAGGGCTTGAAGGTGCTATCGTAGGCCGAGGTGGGGGCCGCCATCCCTGAGAGGCTGCGGCGCCTGCGCACTGAGCTCTCCCCGACTTGTTGTACAGGGTCTGCATGGAGTACTGACACCTCCGGCAGAACCAGCAGCTGGCTCGTTCTTCGAAACCTCACACCCCAGGTGAGCGAGATACCACCCCAGAATAAAGCGAACCACCTGCCCAGGCGGGCAGCCCGAGGAGGGGATGTGCTTCTGCCGCTGACTGAGTGAGGTCACAGGCAGCAAGTGACGCCCTCCCTGTCCCCTTCAGATCGACGGCTCCACGCTGCGGACGCTGTGTCTGCAGCACGGTCCCCTCGTCACTTTCCACCTGAACCTGACACAAGGCAACGCCGTGGTCCGCTACAGCTCCAAGGAGGAGGCAGCCAAGGCCCAGAAGTCCCTGCACATGTGCGTCCCTCCTGTTCCCCTGCCTTGGGGGGGGGGGGCACACACACACACACAACTCTTCCTGCCAGCCAACTCCTCTGGCCTGGCCTGACTAGGGAGCATTAGTGCCGAGAGAGACAGGAGTCAGCTCCCAGAGTAGGGGATTCATCATGTCCAGTTCCAAAGGTAGTGTCCGTGGTGGGTTCAAACAGCTCCCCAAAAGCCCACAGTGGTGCTTCAAAAAAAAAAAAAAAAAGACAACAAGCATTAAACAGCACAGTGCAACGCGGACTCACACCGGCTTTCATGAGTCCATGTGGACTCGAGACTCCGGGTCTGTTTTCTCAGGGCAGCTCCAGCAGGCATACAGATCACACGGGTCCTAAAGGGGTCCTAAAGGGCCCGCAGCTCACGCAGCCTTGTCTCCCTCCACTGCAGGTGTGTGCTGGGAAACACTACCATCCTGGCGGAGTTTGCAGGTGAAGAAGAAGTAAACCGATTCCTGGCGCAGGGCCAAGCACTGCCCCCCACCTCCAGCTGGCAGTCCAGTTCGGGGAGCAGCCAGTCAAGGCTGGGCACCTCGGGCAGTGCCCACGGCCTGGTGCGCAGCGATGCTGGCCACTGGAGTGCCCCATGCCTGGGGGGTAAGGGGAGCAGCGACCTGCTATGGGGCGGGGTGCCCCAGTACTCAAGCAGCCTGTGGGGCCCCCCCAGCACCGACGACGGCAGGGTCATCGGCAGCCCCACCCCGCTCAACACCTTGCTTCCCGGAGACCTCCTCAGCGGGGAGTCCATCTAGGTCCAAGAGTCTGCGCTCAGAAGAGGACCCACGGCCCTTCCCAGTCCCTGCGTCACCTAGGACCCGCTGACCCCAGCCACCAGGCAGCCCCTCGAGTACCTCCACTCAGTCCCCAGGACTCTGCCACAGCTCCTGCAAACTGTCCCCGAGACAGTGCCGGCTGCATCGGTCAGTGTCACACTAACGACAGGATTCTTTTCCCAGCTTTTGATTTTGTGTCGTCCCTTGTTTGTGTGGCGTGTCGTCATTTTGATTGTTTAAGTATAAAGCTGCTTAGAATAGTTGTATCATGAAGGGCACTTTTCAGATGGTGGGCTGGAAAGGGTTATTTTATCACGTGGGGGGTGGGGGGCGGGAAAGCCTATTTTAAATGAGCCTGTGACGATTATGCACATTACCAGAGGCGGCCCAGTAATCAGGGGGGGGTCCGGGCTGATCCTGGCAGGACGGCCACAGTGGACCGATGGACGGACAGTCAGCCTGCCGGGAGCAGTGGCCTGTGATCTGTTCTCCAGCCCCACGGATCCGCCTATGCACATTACCCTTGTATCATTACTTTTTCATGTCATTTTTTTTAATCCCAAAAAATATTTTTTAAAACTTAAAAAAAAAAAAAAAAAAAAAAGAGAGACATATCAAACATGCAAATACTTGAATCCAGCAGGCCAATCAGGAAATGTGAACACTTTCTAAGTCTAATTCTACACTTCCAGGTCGGCATCAGTACACAGACAGGCTCTAGGAAACATTTCTGGTTCATAGCCTACGTGTGCGTGCGTGCGTGGGTGTGCGTGTGTGGGTGGGCGAGTGGGCGTGTGTGTGCGGGTGCGGGTGTGCATGAAAGTGTGTGAGGGAGATAGCTGTGGGTTTTCCCTGTTATTCAGTATATGCTTTTTTGTTTGTTTGGCACATTGGTCAACTGTTTAATTGTTCTTAGCATCTAACTTTGCACTGAGTGTCCCGGCCTGTCCTGTAGCTAATCCTGTAGATTCAAAAGAGGTCCCAGGACAGGGCCGGCGACAATTCACGTGTAAATGTTTACTCAAGGACTCTGTTATTGCGTTGGAAACTTACAGTGTATTTCTCTGGAGAAATAATATGTATACCTACCTTTAGCAGCTTTGTATTGTGGACTAATGCAAGAAAATGATTACCAGAGTATTGCACCATTTGGAATATAAAGTTAAAGAGAAGCAAACAAAACTGTTGTTGAACTGTGGCCATAGATACTTGTAAAGTGGGTGGTTCCCGCGGAAGGAACAGAGACAAGCACTTGGACGTGGGTTGTGACTGCTTTTGGAGGAGCCCAAGATTTGGGCTCCCACCTGTTTACAGACTTTTTTTTTCCTCCTTCAAACTTTAAAATAATAATAATAAAAAAATTAAAAAGGAATTTTAAAAGAAAAAAAAAAAAAGACTTGCGTTGTAAAGAAACCTATTTTCAAATGAGATGCGCTACTTCAGAGCTCTGGGTGACAGTGTTGTGGTGGCCCCGCCCCCGCCATTGCTGCGGACTCCGCCCACTCCGAGCTCCGCCCACTCCGTCAGGGTGATGTGCGTGCGCGCTCACGGCCACAAGGTCACTGTCTTGCACACGCTGGACGCACTCTCAGGAAAGCCAGGGTTCCCGAGGGGCAGCTCCACACCGTCTCATGTGTTTCTAAAACCCACCTCCAAGCACTGAAGATGTTATTTTAAAAAAAGGAAAGGGAAAGGAAAAAAAAAAAAAAAAAAAAAAAAAAAAAAAAAAAAAAAAAAAAAAAAAAAAACAAAAAAAAAAAAAAACGTACTCCTGATGTGTAGCAGTTACATATTTACCAAATAATGGACGCAAAAGAAATAGATGTTTGAAGAGTGCTTTATATATTAAAAAATTGCTTTATGTTTTAAAAATGATCAAAGTGTTGATTGTTTTGAAAGGAAGACAGACAATGGAATAACATACCCCGAGTATGTTTTAAAATATATATATATGTATGAACAGTGTGCTCTCTGCCTGCTTCATCAGGAACCTTGTGCATTACATTTTTTAAAATTAGCTTTTTAATGGTTTTATCAAAACAAGAGTGTCCTGCAGGACCGCAGATCACCGGAAGCTGGTTTTATAGAGGATCATGAACTATGCACCAATGGGGCTCAAGATGGCTTCTCGCGACTTCTCGCGGTGTATTTAGCTCAAGAAACCTTCCTCCGAGTCATGGAGTCTCCCTGCCGTTACATGCACCCTGTATGTTTGATGCGTGCATACCTGCGTGTGTACATCAGATATATGTGCGTGTGTGCACCCGTACAGCTCCACATGCTGCCGTTTAGCATGGAGCTGTAGGAAAACTCCCCATATTTTCAAGTTTGGGGGTGGACAGATAAAGACTTTACTTTTGTTTTTTTTTTTTTTTTTTTTTTTTTTTTGTTTGTTTTTGTGTTTTTGACCTTTTATTTTGAATTAAAGATTCTGTAACTCTGAGATTAAAAAACAAAAAAACCGTTTGTGACTTTTAATGTTTTTTCCTCATAGAATGTGATTGTTGAAGAAAATGCACCGAAAATTGCTTTTCAAAAGTACAACGCTTTGTTAAATCTTAATAAATGGCTTTTTTTTCCCCCTTGGCTGTTCAAATAAATGGTGTTTTCATTTTTTTCTTTTCAGAGTTCTCATCCATGTTCACTTTGTGTGCTGACGTTAAAAGTAAAGCGTTCTGATCTTTGTAACAAATTCTTTGTATGATTTTGTTAGCGATGGCATGATTGTCTTTAAACTTGCAACTTCTGTCATTTGACTTGTCATATTTCTCACTTGTTTGGTGGTTTTGCTGTGAACACGGCAGCTTTGTAAATACAGTAATCACTGAGGGACTCTGTCCTTCAGTCCCAGCTGGAACCTGCACATCAAGTGACCATGACGGTCTCAGCCAGGGTCACCCTTGAGGACAAGTGGGCATTCTCACCAAGGCCCAGCGTGGGCATCAGAAAGCTTCAGAGAGACAGAGAGAGAGAGGGCGATGGTGTGTCTTGTCACCCAGTTTTGTATAAACGTCTTAGCCTGCTGTCACAAAGCAACCGTGCCCAGCCTACAATGGGCATGGGGTGGGGTGGGGGGCCAAGAAACAACAGTGTAACGGCATTCACACACAACCTTGGAATCAGATCACCGCACGTGACACTTTTCTGAAAGTTTGAGAGGGTGGCATTGGATGAGCCCCTTCAGGAAAAGCAGCTCAAGGTCTGCAGGAAAACAGGTTTTTTTTCCAGCACACTGGAAATTCAAACTAGCTTGAACTCGACCCAAGGCCTCATCAAACCTTCAGCGTGTGCTCAGGGTGGGTGGGGCTGAAAAGTTCTTGATCAAGGAAAGCCTTGGTTCGGAGCTGCACTTTGCCTGTTGTTTTGGCAGCCCCTTGAGGAACTACGAAGGCAGAGAGCTGGACCCTCCTCCCGGAAGTAGAACAGAGGTGGGACTGAACAGAACATCGCGACAAGCAGGGACATCAATCAGTCCAGGTCTGAGACGCCAAGGAGCCGAGCACGCTCAGTGACAGGACAGGTGGACACAGCCGGGCCTTTGGGATGGATCAAGAACCAGCCCTGAGTCGGCAACTCATCAGCTTTGGTGGTCCAGAGTGGGATTTGGAACATCCCCGCCCCCACCTACCCCCGCTGCAGTGGGGATCGGAAGTACAGCGAACAGTGCACGAGATCAGCACTGCCGCCATCTCTTGAGACAGTATTTGTGGCATCCGATCCACATACACCCAGGCCTCTTGGAATTATTTGAGAAGCTTTAAAGGCACAACCAACAAAAATCAGAATGAGGGTTGGGGAGGAGCTGAGCCATCCATCCTTTTCAAAACTCCCAGGTGGTTCCACTGTGCTCCAAGGTTGGCAAGAACCGTCCAGTCTACAGCCTTTGGGGCTTCAGTGTGGTCTGATTTGAAGACTCTCTCTGGTCTTTTGTTTGAACCAGACTTCTGACTTGTTCTCACAGAGGTGATATCGCTCCAGCAGCCCAGGAGGCCAGGGCTGGGAGAGGTTGTGGGACTAGACCTCAAGTCATTCAGCTGGTGAGGACCAGAGCTCAGGCCCCCTGGCCTCATCACAACAGCAGCATAGGAAGAGATGGCCCAGCTGGGGGCGCTACAGAAACTGGACCGTTCTTCCTTGTCAAAAGGGAGTGGTCGATACTTCCAGTGCTGACCACAAATGCGAAGTCATCTGCTCCCCAAAAGAAGTCTCTGGTGGGTTTGGCCCAGCAATGTCCCCACCCCACTGTCCCCCAGCACCTCCGTGGACTTTCTGGATCCGTACCAGGTGCTCTGCCTCAGAAAGCTCAGGGGCACAAACTTCCCCCAGGTGAGTGCCAGTGGGGGGTCTCCAACATGGTCAGGTCCCCTGGAAAGAACTTAGGCTCCCCCATGCCACCCCACCCCCACCCCACCCCCGCTAAGAACCGCATGCCATCTCCACTCAGGGTTGGCCTGCCCACCCAATCCCTAGGCAGCTTGGGCTCACAACCTGCTCTGTCCCTACCCCATAGGCAACCATACCTGGGGCGCCGGCCACCTCAGCCTCGGAAGCCCTCCCAAGGCCAGCTCTCTTGTCCCTAGAGTTGCCCGCAGGAATGGCCAGGGTCTCTGGCCCCCAGCTGTCTCACCCACACACAGGTCTCCTGCCATCTAAGGCCTGGCCAGCAGGGGGAGCCAGAGGAGTGGCCTACAGGTCATCCAACTGCGCGCCCAGGTACAGACTCCCAAGAGACAGGTCTAGTTTATAACACACATTTAATTAAAATAAATAAGGTGCCTGCAGAGCAAGGGTCCACATGTGGTCCAGGCCCTCCCACCTTAGACCACACGTGAAGGTCACTGAGAGTCAGCACTTTGAGGTGACTGGACCAGTGGGGTCTCGGGCCCACGTCTGCGCCCGGCAGCACCATGGGGACAGAACGGGACACAGGTGGTGGCCAGGCCCATTGACCAGTCTCCTTCCTACGGGGCTTCCTGTGCACCCTGGAGCCAGGCAGGGGCCCTGACAGAAAGAGACATCAGCAGGTTCTCTCCAGCCTGCTGTGGCCAGAGTATGGGCCAAACCCCCAGCCAGGCTTGTTAAGTCACCTCCAGGGGAGAGACAGGCAGGGCTGCCTGGGGGAGCAGGGGCTCACCTCTGACGTGTGTGTTCCCTGGTTGGGGGTGGGGTGGGGTTGAGCCACAAGAAATTGCCAGGTCAAACGTGGTTAGGGACCAACAACTTCACCCAGCCATCAGTGGCAGCCCCGTGAGCATGACTGGAGAAAGCTGCAGGTCTGGAGAGCCTCTCCCGAACACATGACCGCCGTGCCCAGCAGGGCCCTCACCTTCTCCGCTCCTTTCTCTTGTAGACAGAGTGAATCTCATTGATTAAGAAGATTTTGTCCTCCCCCTCCTGGAATACCAGAAATGACAGGTGTGGGAAGGAACGTGGCTTCTCCATCTGTCCGTCCACAATGGCAGATTCCAGGCTGTACTGGATGCGTCCGCACCACAAGCCACAAGCTTAAAAGAAGGCCTTACAGAGGCACCAAAGGCGAGGGCAAGGTCAGACAAGGAGGGTGCCGTAGACCCTGTTTCTGCACAATGCACACGTTATGGGTTTTTCAAAACATGCCACCCCCTGCCCATAAACTTCCTGTGCACACTAGTTATGTGGTCACGTTTCATGTGACATGTGGTAGGTAGCTGACTTTCCTAGCAGTCAAGGGGAAAAGGCAAGCAGTTTCACAAGAAAGCTTGAGTTACAGCTAGTTCCTCTCTGCCCTCAGTGTTACCTTCTCTAAAAGAGACACAGTACAGCATGGGGCCTGGCCTGTAGTAGACAACGAATGTCAGCGATAGTACTTGGGCCAAACCCCACTCTCATGGGGAGTATTCACAAAGAGGAAAGAACTGCTGTCCTGACTCAGCCTGGGAGACCCCCTTAGACTACCAAGGGGAAGGGCCATGTGACCCAGAGCCGCCCTCCCCAGGCGCTCTCTCCATGGGCCCAACACATTGCTACCCAACAGGACCACAGTGTGGAGGTGAGAAGATGTTGGGTTTTGTTTTCAACCTCAGCAGGATGTGGGCAGAGTCTCTTCCGTGTGAAGAACTGCTGAGGAGCAGCCAGGCCTTTCCCCTGCCCCACCACTGAGAGCACAGCAGAACTGGGGCTTCCAGGACGGGGGACACTGGCCCCAACCCCCAATGTGGGCTCAGACATCCAGGGCACAGAAAAAATGCAGGAAAAAGAAAAACCAAGGAAAAGGTGGCAGCAGAGGGGAGAGTGATGTCCGGGCCCTGGCCGCTCGTTCTAATTTCTCCAGGTCCTGTGTGAGCAGACTGTCCCCAGCACTCAGGAGGCCAGCCCGATGGACCGGGACCAGGCCCAGGGCAGTCAGCAAAGTAACTTGCTCTGTGGAAGCAGGGGCACACTCACCACCCCAGCCCAGGGCTGTGGGGCAGAGAGGGTGGGGGAGTTTCCATCCCTACACCCACCTCCCCCTAAAACAAACAAAACACTACCTGCAGTCAATTCCCACTCAGAGCAGTTCTAATAAGGGCTCTGAGGTAGGAAATCTTTGTAAGGAGCAGAAAGCCTCATCTCTCTCTCGGAGCACCTGATGGATTCAAACTGCTGACCTGTGGTTAGCTGATGCGCCACCAGGATTTTTTCTGTTTCCCGTTTCCAACCTCACTTGGCTTGTTTGTAAAATGAGAGCTTTGCTGGCATAATGGATTATGAGCTGGGCTGTCAGCTGCGCCACTGACTTTAAGGTCAGCAGTTCAAATCTACCAGTCACTCTGTGGGAGAAAGATGAGGCTTTCTGCTTCTATGACTATGGCTGACAGCCTCAGAAATCCCATACAGAGTCACTATGAATCGGAACCAACTCGGTAGCACACAATTTGTTCCAAGACGGACCCTACCTGGGTTGTCCCAGAGCCATTTCTGGTATCTCAAACTCCTGAGTCCCCTAATTGCCGTGTTTCTGTCCCCCACCAAGGCAGGCCCCCAGCCTGTAGCTTCACGGAATACAGTCTATTCATCCATACCGTGGTCTAAGAAAAACCCCAGGGCCTTTCTGGGCCCAGGATTGAGGAGTTCTGGTGTGGCTCTGTAGAGTCAGCCATGGACTGCTCACCCCAAGGTTGGTGGTTCACACCCACCAGTCACTCCTCGGACACCCTACGCAGCGACAACACTTGGCAACAGCGGCCCGTGAGGGGTGTGGGCACTCACATTGCTGATCTGCTCCTTGAGGAGACAAATGATCTTCCGCTGGCCCTTCACCACCTGGATGTTGAGGTAGATGACGGCACTGTGGGAGGCAGGCAGTCAGACGGGGCATGGGCCAACTCCAGGCCCCACCCAAGCCGGTGCAGCCCCCCTCCCCACACTCACAGCAGCAGGGTGGACACCAGGAAGATGAAGAAGGTATTCTCCAGCAGGTAGTGGTAGACCCAAGGTACCCAGGAGACCCGGGGCCCTGCCTGCTCCAGATGGTGCACCCACACCTTGCCTGCCTCGTACATGGTGCCCAGGCTTCGGAAGGGACCGCACATGCTGGACGGCTTCACCCTAAGGTCAGGACAACCTCAGCTGGTGAAGGCCCCTTCCCGTCCTCCCTCCAGCCTCAGGACACCCCACAGCCCCTCCAGGCCCCCCAGCACCACCCCCCACATCCTGGGCACAGGAATGGTGGGCCAGGCGCACTCACTGCCAGATAGCATAGCAGAGGAAGATGGCAGCACCCAGGAAGGAGGGGAAACAGAGCAGTGTGATGAAAACGGTGCTCATGTGTGAGGCCAGCCACGGTCGGTGGGGCGCCTGGCAATTGGCCATCAGGCTTGTCTGGGGGACAGAGGTCACACGTTGCCACCGCTGCCCAAGCCCACCCTGCCCCTCACCAGGGGGTCTGCCTGGGCTGGGGGGCGACCCCCTCACCTTCTTGATGTAGAAAAGCAGCAGCAGCTTGAGGATTTGCACGGCAGGCAGGAGAGGTGAGAAGAGGACCCCCAGCCTAGGAGAGGGGGCTGTGGGTCAGAGGTCAGGTGACCCCTATGCCCCTCAACCCACCTAGTTTAGGGTTGAAGCAAGCTGCCCAGCCCTCCCTTGTCCACCCCAAAACCTGGCTGGACTTGTGACCACACATCCTGGTCCCTGGGGAATGGGAGGAGGGACTCTCCAGTACCCCAAGGCCAGCAAGAGGCCAACACGGGTCCCAGTCAGACAGGGCTCACCCTCCCCCAGGACCGGGCAGAGCGGGGAGAGGGATGCCCACCAGGTCAGAGTCTGCCCATAAATCAACTCCAGGACATTCCGTGCGATGTCAAACTCAGGCTTCCGCTGCCTCTTCAGCTTCCTCTCAGTGATAAGCCTGGGGCAGAGACACCCCCCGAGGGTCGGCTGGGAAGAACCCAGTCCAAACAGCCCCCAGAAGTCACCCTGTCCTGATACCCACTCACCTAATCTAAGGTGCCCAGAAATCCCATGGCAGGATCAGACATCTGGAGAGACTAGGATCCAGTCTTTTTCCTATCTACATGTCTAAAACATGCATGGACCTGTATACACCCTGTCTAAAACACACAGATACCCTACACCCTCATGTCTAAAACATACCCCCGTACACATATCTAAAGCAGGCATATACCTACACACCTTCACATCTAAAACATTCACCTGGAGGTGAAAGTCTCTTCAACAGATGGTGCTGGCAGAACTGAAAAGCGATATGCAAAAGATTGAACCAAGACCTTCACCTCACACTTTATACAAAAACCAACTCAGCATGGATTAAAGACCTAAATGTGAATCCCAGAATTATGAAGGTCATCAGTGAAAAAATAGGGGCAAATGTGAGGGCATTAATTCAGGGAATACACAGACTACAAAACATTTTGAAAACTACACAAACAAAAGTAGGCAAAATAGATGATTGGGACATACTAAAAATTAAAAACTTAAGTGCATCAAAAAACCACCAGAAGAGTAAAAAGGGAACAGGAAAAAAATCTTTTGCAATGACACATCAGTCAAGGGACTTATTTCTAAAATTTATAGGAAACTACAACACCACTACAAGAAAAAGACAAATAACCCAATTAAAAAATGGGGATAGGACATGAACTTCACCAAGGAGGAGATCCAGGCAGCCAACAAACATATGAAGAAATGTTCACGATCACTAGCCATTAGAGAGATGCAAATCAAAACAACAATGAGATATCATCT